CATAAGGTTCAATGTAATTACCGTTAATCCGTTCTGGCGTCTGCGGACCATGCGTCAGGGGCGGAAAAGCGCCCGCGCACCGCAAGGCGGGGTGGCAAAACACCTGCGCGCCGCGCGGCAGCAAAACACCCGCATGCCGTGCATCAGGGGCGGAAAAGCGCCCGCGTGCCGCATGGCGGGGCGGCAAAACACCCGCGCGCCATGTGTCAGGGGCGGAAAAGCGCCTGCGCGCCGCGTGGCAGGGTGGCAAAACGCCCGTGCGCCGCGCAGCAGGGCATAAAAATGCCCGCGGACCACGTGTCAGGGGCGGAAAAATGGCCGCAGACCACGTGTCAGGACGGAAAAATGGCCGCACACAACGTGTCAGGGTGGAAAAATGGCCGTACCTCGAGGCGGAGTTTGCACATCGAGATAAATTTTTGGGGCCAGAGCTGGTCGTACCTCAAAAATTTCGTAAGTAGGGGCGTTCGTAAGTAGAGGTACCACTGTACTTATTTTTCAGCCAAGCAATTTCCCGCATTTTTAAATAACATTAATGCAACAAAATATGTTATTTTAGTTTCCAATCTTTAATTATAACAGAACTAACCGCTAAGATTAGCTTTCTTATGTTGTTGGATAATCATTGCTACACTTCAAAAGTGGTATTCCCTAACTGGGCACAAGCCCATCTCTGAAGTTTCTCTGGTATACTTTAATTTGATCTGGGTATAATATGTATTGGTTATGGTTGTAATGGTTATGTACAGAGTTGCCAGCAAAGCTCCTCCCCTCCATTCACTCCTCTCCATGGCATTTTTTTAGGATGACTGCATCTGAGGAGAGGAACATGATCATGTAAAACCTGAACATCTCTGTGCTTTGTGAGGCAGGTCACAAAGCACCAGTTCACTGGTTCCTATTCAGATGTGCACCCACTGTACACTGATAGTTGGTCAGAGAGGACCAATGAACCACTGGACTTCCCCCCCCCCGCCCATATGCGCACACATTGGTGAGACATAGGATCTTTTTTTTTAAAAAAAAAAGGTTCACAAGTGAACTAGTGAAATGGTGATCTTTCTTTCTTTAAGTGGGTGAAATTGACAAGGGTTCTGCCAGCTTCCTCTTCTAACCTAAGTGATAGGAAAATGGTAAGACTGTGTTGTTGGCTTTTGACCTTTCTGGTCCATCAGTGGACAGGCCAGATGGGAAGATGTTAAGTACGAGAGGGAGTCAGTGGAGATGACTAAGTCAATGGACTAAGATTTCTTAGTGGAAAACACATGCCCTCAAACTCCTGCCCACAAAAACAAAAATGACTGCTATTTGTTCTCCTAGCATGGGTAGAAGCAGGGAAATTGGGAGCTGTGATAACTGTTCAGACATACCTGGCCAAAGCTAAAGAATGGACTGAAATTCAGACAACGATCTCTTAAATCAGCATGGGGGAGAAGTAGTTTAAAAGTGCTGTGCAAAAGAGCCCACTGACTCCAACTCTTCAGAAAAGAGTTGGAATACATTCCCATAACTTCCCCTTAGATGCCAAATCCAAAGAACCTGGTTTGTTTTTCTTGGAATCAAACTACTCTGAATGGTAAGTTGGCAATAAGTTGCTATCACAACTTAGCACTTGTAGAATAACATCTGAATGGGCTTAGGCTGGAAGCTCAGTCAGGAAGGGATAGCCCCCAGTTCTTACTCCAAGAGGGTTTTCTTCCCTTTTTCCCAGGGAAGAAAAAGGAGATGGAAGAATCTGAAGTAACCAATGAGAAGAAATTCACAATATAAGATAAAAATCTTAACACTTTTGCAACAATTGAAAGGGAATTGGAAGTAAGGGGTTAACTGCACCTAGAAGCATGGGTCCTTGATAGAGCATCTCCTGCTGAAAAATATGCCTCTGTTCTAGAAAATTCCAACAAGGGATTCTGTGCATCATTAGCCATACACAGGAACCACGAAGAACAAACTAAAAAAAAAAATCCTCAGGTACTAATTCTTACAGTTGTACAACTTTTGGAGACCAACTGAGGCTGAAACAATTCAGGGAGAGAAGGTCCCCCAAAAATCTGTTTAGATGACTCTTATTGATTTATGTTCAGTTTCTCAGTGTCAGCTGAGAAAGAGGAGAAGGTAAAGTGAATATGGGTATCAACAGAATTTTTTTTCTTGGAGCTGTATATGTATCTGGTATTATACTGTATTATTTTAATTTGTGGCACAGCATCAGTACATGTGTTCATTTTTATTAAATGTGTGCATTGTTGCTTAATGGCATGTTCCATGACAGTAAGATAGTACAGTGATCTTAAGAATATATTGGATATTTTGGCAACACCATCTGTATCATAAGTTTAGTTATATATATTTATCTTTAAAATAGGACTATGAGAAGCTGGCAGAATCACGGACATATTTAACTTACTTCAGCTTATGCTGATTGAAACAGCTCTCCAGGATTTCAGACTGTAATCTTTCCCAGCCATACCCAGAGAGGTCACAGATTAAATCTAGAACTTTCTACTTGTGAAGAACTTCTAACATTCTTCACATAAGCAAACTGGAAGAAGCTCTTCCTATAGGAGTTAAATTTGATAGAAACAGGAGAAAGGGCCTTCTCTCAATGACTGTTCTCAGGGTTTAGAATTTGCTACCAATGGAGTTTGGGATACTTCCTTCTCTGTTGCCTTGTACAAGCAGGTTTAGATGTAAAGTTTAGATGTTAGAAGTCATATTATGCAAAAGCCTTTGATTAAGGCTTGGAGCTGCTTCATTCCACATATGGATACATCAGAAACTATTTAACCACAATCTCATATTTCACACAAACTTAAAAACAATGGCTATCAGCTTCAGAACTAGCAAGGATCTTAATCAAACTTCCAAGCCATTCTTATTCTGTAATTGATAACAATATTTCCAAATTCAGACCAAACTCATCATTACTGCTGGAGATTCTTCAGTTTAATCACTGCTAATCCAGTCTGCATGTGTGAACAAAAGACTAATGCATATTTTAATTTAATGAGATATGAAATGTTAGTATACTTCTATTTGAGGCACACTGCAACCCAGATTTCACAATATTGTCTAGAAGTCCAGGGTTGGACAAGTTTTTAATTCTGATTTAAATATTAAATATTAATTGTTCTATAATTACAATTACTACTATACTATTACATGTAATACAAAATACAGTTTGTACTGTAGGGGCAAGTACAGATATCCCTGTAAACAATGCATCTCCATGTAACACCTATACAATGAACAACAGGTATGCTGACTCCAGTGCTGGAACGGGGTCATGAAAAGAGCACAAAAACCTGAGTGAGCTGAAAACAAATGAAAATCACATTATATGGAATTATGACTAAGCTCACAGTGCTCAAAGCCAAGGGAAAAGAATGATGTGTATACCCAAGAAATGACCACAAAGAAAATCCCAGAACTGACAAATTATCAAACATCTCAAAATTATACTGGATTAATAAATTAAAATAAAAATTACAAATGGAAAAGAAAATGGGTAATTAGGTAACAAAAGGGATCCAGTAGCAAGGGAATGGGCAAAAGGTGTATGGGGTATGAGGGTGTTAAGGGAAGCTATCCTCATACATTCTTATAAAAGGCATAACTTACTGAAAAAAATATTTTTAGAACCAGGTTAATATGCTATAAACCAAAACTGGTTTTGCAAAGAGGAATGATTGGATCTGTTGCACCTCTTCCATCAGATTCCTGAATACTCTACCACAACAGACCGTTCAGCACTGTTTGCCAACATCTTCAATCAGTCCAAAGAATTAACCTTATGTATGGTTGGCCGCTTGGTGGTCTGAAAGGCCCAAATCTGAGTTGTAGCAGAGTATACTGATGCTCTATCTTCTAGGATGAAAGTAGTACAGCTTCTATCCTACGCAGCATATAAAGGGAAGGGGAAAGTCAGACAGCATATCCTTCACATACAGAAACTATTACAATTTAGAAGTGGATTCAAGCTACTTAAATGACCAGGAAAAAATTTAAGAATTTGTTCTACAGTAAAACATTTCAAATTTATTGCTCTCCCTTTGTATTCATGCATAATCAGGGAAAATCTATCAGTTTCTTTCTCTAAAAGATGTAAGTATTCATGAAACAAGTTCATTATATCATCTTCTAGTTAAAGCTCATAGTAAAGATGCCAGAAAACCAATTAGGAATGATTGGGTTGGATCCAAACATACTACAAGCAGAGTTTTGTTCAAGGAAATGGCTCTCTCATTTGACTCTAACAAACTTGTTTTTATCAATTCCGCCTTTCCTCTGAAGCATTGTGAATGCTCTATAAAGCTGCACTGAATGTTTGGGGAACTCATTGAAACAGAGAGTCCATGATATCGGAAGCTGGAAGAGTAATGGAAAATCTGCAGGTATTGGCTGTATCCGTTTTGTTCATGGGAGCCTCTCCTGGATCCAACCCTACATTCATGGTTAATTCTCATTTACATTAATATCCCAAATCCTATTAAAAAAAGAGTAATCAACATTACATATGCATAAGAATACATTTCTTACCTGCTTCACCTGAAGTCCATGGCTCCATATTCTTTCTAAAAGGTCACAGAGACTGGCTATCAATGTATTTTCTTCCACCCCTGTAATGTTCACCTCACCATGACCAAGTTCTACTGCTTCACGGCCCATTTTTTCCACAAGCATCCTCTTTGTCTTTCAAAACAAAGCATACAAAAGATATGGTTGCTTTTTAAAAAAGTCAGAATCCTCTATCACTTCAAATGAACAAAATAAGCAGCAATATAATCAGTTGTTGAACTGACTAATTATAGTATGAAATATACTATATTTCATAGATATAAAATCACCAACAGATTTTTTTTCTGTTATGACACTCTGCCAGTACTGATCACTTATCTGTTGTACATTCCTCTGCAAAAAGAAAAAATTAAAGATTTGGTTGACTCAGCCTATTTTTTCAGTTATGATTTATCATTTATATCTGCTTTCATTTAGTGTGTGTGCAAATCCACAGCACCTGTTCTGCATTATTTGAATAACAAGCAAGAAAACTGCTACACGTAACATATAGGGAGCTGAATTTCAAACAAAGGAGGAAGAGTTTCCCACCGTCTTCCTATTGTATCTCAGTATCTTCTAAAAGTCACTCTTAAGGACTGAGAACCCATAGAATATCAGGAGTGTTACGGCTAGAGGGGGAATCAAAAGCTTTGCTTTTTGCAAAAAGATAAATGTTTTCATTCACATAAGAAGCTCCTCTGTATTCTGTTCAATGAGTTGAAATAACGTGATTATATATGTGTGAGATATACTGTACAGTATTGGCAGATTCTCTCTTTATATCCATAAATGCTAAAAATAATGATTATTTTTAAAGGAAGAGCAATGGAATCTAAAAATATTAACACTCTAGTTAAAAATTATAGTAATTGCCATATATTACTCATACTTTAATTAATCAAGTGCAAGAGGATAGGCACAAAGATAAGTGGAAAACTGATCTTCAAAATGTCTGAAAAACTATACATTCCATACCTGACATACTTGAATTCCGAAAAGATAATTATATTATTTCTGAATTTCTGCACCTTGTCTAACCCTTAGATAGACAAATAACACATTAAATGAGAGCAATGTGTTCCCTATTTCTAGTTGGAAATATCTACTTGCCCTTCTACAACTTTCCAATGGGCAAGCTATTCTTTGTATATTTGCAAGTGTCTTTATCTGAAAAGTAACTCTAAAGCAACTATGCCTTCCTCACCTGATAAAAGCTGAAGTATCTACTTCTCATTTAGAAAATCAGATAGCTAAAGATACTGTTTGTGAAAGCCAGGAAGAGCCAGCATGCAAAGGAAATTTTTCTAAGTGAATTTTAACAGAATGTGCTAGAATAGAATTGTGAGGCCAAGGTCAGGTATATTAATATTGGGAGAAGCAATGAGTTTGATGCCTGCTGTTCTACAATTTAAAGGTGTGTGTGGGGGGGGTTTCCTTGTTTCTTCAGAGGAATCAGTCACTAGATTGATTATTGAGGAAACAGTCATGAACTGCCTGTGGAGGAATTAACATGTGGAGATGTACCTGAAACTGCTGTTGCACCAAAGGACCAAGGGAATGAAATTTCACTGCAGCAAAAACAGTAAGTGGATATTTTCCAGTTCTTCACTTATTAAGCTTATCCCAATTATTCAGTAGTTCTCAACATTCTGCTATGAAACTTTATTTTTTTCTACTTAGAAATTATTAAATAAATATAGCTTTTATTTTAAGATTCATTAATATGCTTTTCCAGTTTTATGTTTCACCAGAGAATGCTAATAAAAAGAGCCTTAAGAGTAATCTGATGCTACAGAATACTTTGCAGTTGCCCCAGGGAAGCAGAAATGGTTGGTAACAGATTTAACTACTACTCTTAGGATATACTATATTAGCTTCTAAAGAGACAAGGTATGGAATAGCACAAATAGCACACCAACACTGGTTTTATCTTAATGACTATACAGTACTAAAATAAATTTACATTGTGGGAATCCACACTTGAAAAGAATAAGGCTTTTTGTGGAAATTTTTGTGGAATTAAATATATTTAATTAATATATTCAAATGGTGAATTTTTGTTACTGGAGAAGAGGAATGCAATGACTGTTTGCTAAAATGTGTAGGGTGCCAATATCTTCATTTAGAACACTTTCTGATGTCTACATATGGGCTGGCCACCCCATGAGCCTCAAAATCCCATCTAGCATTAGGAGATTTAACATGTTATTTACAATATAATAAGCTTATCATAATTATTAACAAATGGTTGTTGGAATATACCAAATTAAATATTCAAGATTATAGAGAGATATGGAATAAGGAACTGGAATGTTAATGGGATGATTTTTGGTATCTATGTATTATAATTCTAGATTTAAAATCATGGTTAATTTAACAAAAATGGCAAGTACTGAACAACTCTAGGTCTTTTTCTGCTCATTCAAAATGTGACTTTAAAGCATAAAATGTAGTTATGTTTCATAATAGCTCTTCTTTTGGGCAGAAGATATTTCACTGATTTATTCTGGAAGGTTCATTGTATTTTGAAGACTGACTGGGTTTTGAGTTATATTCCAACTGTCTAGAAACTACAAGGGAACAACAGAAATGGATACTGTGTACTGATCTCTTTTCCATAGGTTTTGCCATTGTCAGTAAAAACTGAAAATTAAATCAGATTACCTTTTTCTGAAGTATATTATTCACCTTAAAGATCACTTTTTATTTTCTCACGCATTTTTTAAATCCACGCTGCTTGATATTTATTTCAATTTTATCACTATTGTTCAGCAATCTTACAAATGGGTTCAGATTAACTGCAAGCACATTTTACCCACAGTCCATTTTAATTAGTAATATAGTATAGTGGTCCAGTCTAGTCTAATATATTGCCTCTTATTCTTGGCACTCTTCTGTCAAGGTAGTTTTTATACTGTTCTTTTTTCTTTTTTTTTACTCCAAACTTTTAGTTATATGGAAAACAGTTTATATAGGACATGTGACCGTATAAAAATAATTTAACAGAAACAATTCACTGTTGCTCCTTGCTTTTTGTATATGCAATAACAAATATTCACAGAATCACAGTAGTGCATGAAGTGGCTCTAGGCAGAATGCCTGAGCAAAAGCCTGAAGTCAAGATATGTGGAAAACTGTATATTATTAGAATTATCTCAGAATCATCTCATTTATTAGCAGAATGTGTCCTGATCCACAGTCTTACTTCCATGCCATTCAAGGGGACATTTTGCATTCACTGAACTGATCAGTTCTGTCTCATTAGTGTGAAGTTATGAGAATATTACATCAAGGGATATCAGTATCATGAGAAATAATCTACTATAATGGTCCAGCTAATTCAACTCCTCTAAATAGCAGAAGCTAGAACAGTATGGACAAGAATTATATAATACCTTATATCGGCATTCCTTCAGCAATCCTTCAACAAATTTCAAATTGGTCTGGGCAATTACTGATGGTGAAAGATTAGACAATTTAGGTTGCCGGATAGTGCTGCCCAGATTTCGAGCTTCTTGGATGTATTTCTATAGAAAGAAAGGAGCACAACAGAAAAATAAAGATATAATTCTAAATTTAAACATTTGGATTTTCTCTAACAAGAAAGTAAAATATATATCTCAAACAACAAGACTACATTTTATGTTAGATTGCAAATAATATTTTTAATTGATGTTCCCACTCAGTTTTAAATAGCCTGGTTGTAATTTTTGTACAACATTTCACTGCAAGAGCAATATTTTTCCAATATTACAGAATCATGCTTTCTTATATTTTTGAGATAGCACAGTAAGATGGGTTACTCACCTGTAACTGAGGTTCTTCCAGTGGCCTTCTGTGCAATGTACCATTGAGAGCTGAGCTGTTTTTAGAGGGAGGATATTCTAGCCCTTTTTCTATGATAATACTAAGAAGGTACCTCATGCCTTCCATTAGCTGATGTAGAACCTCAAGAGAATGATTGCCTGTGAGGGGACAGAGGGCGGGTTGTGTGAATGCACAGATAATACCTCAGTAAAGCACAGTTGCAGTAAGCAACTTGTTCTTCTACGTAATGATTCTGTGCATCACACAAATGGGTGACTAGCAAATTATACTTACAGAGGGCAGGTAAGTAAAGAGTGGAAAATAAAGGCAGCACTGTATTTCCGAAGGCTTCGCTAATTCTTGCCCTGATATCCAACTTATATTGTTGAACAAATACAGTGATCACATTGCAGCTCAGTAAATATTTGGTAAGAGAATCCTCTAAACCACAAAGTCTGTAAAAAATTAAGATCTAGCTCTTTTTGATGTAGGTGGACTTGCCAGCTAACTTGCTGGGGGGATAGTAGCTATCACCCAAAGAACAAGTGATTGAAATGAAACTCTCTGCCTTTGCTTATGGGACAAATGGTAGAATATGAGTAAAAAAAAAAAACGCTGCTGAGCCCAGGAGGCACCAGTGTAGGGGATGTCTGTATATGGAGCCAAGGAAGCTGTGTAGTTTGGCCAGAGCTCCCAATCAGGGAAGGTAGATGGAGTCAGGTGAGATATAGTAGAGGTCACTGAATAAGCCATTATAAGGGAGGGGAGTCCTACAATTTGGTACTGGTCCTCATTTCTAGCTCAGCTGCCTCATTCCTAGACCTCTGAGGCCAGATTGCTGTCAGTCTTGGCCTCAGTCTGTTGTTAGTGAATTCCAGGTTCACCTGTAATGTATCTGCATATATCCACAACCTAGTAGTGGATGAGTGGGCTGACCTGGCATGTATTACTGAAAGCTTATTAGGTGAAGGTTGAAATGTAACCCTCTCAGAGATCTGCTGCCCTAGGTTTTGGGTACTACAACAGCTATGATGCCAATTTAGGGATGGGCAATGATCTTGAAAGACAGATTTACAGTTATCAGAGGTACTAGTTTTGGGATGATAACGTGTAAGTTGGACCGGAGATACAAGCTGGGAGATTCTGCTTGTGTACTGCTCTTCCTGCTGCCTGATGGGATTCCTGGTCCTTGATGTCATCTTTGAGCTGGTGTTGAAGTTCCTCCACTACTGGTGCTTGAGGACATAAATCTCCATGCCCTGAGGGCAGGTTCTGGAAAGGCTAAGAAATTCATGGCCTCCATGGCGACCTCAGGCTTGCCCCACATGATTGTTAATCTGACTCTGATGGCTAAGTTTTTGTTTTTGCCTCAGAGCAGTCGATGCGTGATCTGAATATGGAGGATGTTACTCATTAGTCCTTTGCCATGGTCAGATCACTTCCTCATATGAACGCTACCCAGGATATCCACAAGGTGGGAGGGCTGATTGAGGCTCACTTAAGGTGACTTATTAATGCAGATATATGCTGAAGGTGCTTGGGGATTTTCCTAGACCTGGCAGACAGTTTGTGGGTTGGCCTCTGGAATAAAGACATAAACAGAATGTTGGATATTATTGATTGCAAATTGCCTATATCTGTTTGCGTGTTCCTTGGTTTCCTTAGCAGCTCTGGGAGATGAAGAGAGATATTTGGAAGTCTAGTGGAGGATAACAAAAAGTGAATCTGATCAACTATGGGTAACAGCCACACTAGGGGTACATCATGTCAATATGAATAGCAAAGTGTCAATGTTTCTTCTCACTTATTGGTGGATTGTTGTCCAGCCTTTTTAGGGAAGGGTAAGCAGAAAGAATTGTCATAGGGCCACTGTGATGCATTTGTACATTTTGCTAATATTGTAAAGGGACTTGGATCCACCTGTCTCAACTGCATGAATGGCATCCAAAGTGGTGACTGGGGTGATGCTTTTCAATGTGATAGTGGATTTATTTCAGCCTGTGGACTCAGGTGAAATCAGTAGGGTACTTTCTAGCATGAACTCTGCTTCCTGGGGAATTTCCCCTCCTGATTCTTTTGTGGGATGGGGGGAGGGGGTCTGAGTAGCTTGATTGGGGAAGTGGTCAGTGTTTCACTAGGAGAGAGGGTTATGCTAAATGCCTTGAAGATGGCAGTGGTGCAGCATTTTTGTAAGCAGTTGTTGAGAGGGTGGTGAGGCTTCAGTTACAGAGTACCTTAGAGGAAGCAGACTATTCTGAACCCTAAAGTTCAGGGATGGACATGAGATGGAAATAACATCAGTAATTCTGGAAGATAACCTTAATCAAGACTTGGAGAGAGGTACAGTGATCCTCTTAATCTTTTTGGACCTCTCAATAATTTTCAATATCATCATATCCTTCTGGAATGCTTGTGAGGGCTGGGAGTTGGGGACATGGTTTTCTGGTGGTTTCATAGTACAGATGGAGAATGAGGATTTGTGGGAGCTCTCCTGTGAGATGCCAAAACGTTTAATAACCTCTACTATTTAACATGTATATGAAAAGTCATCCATCAGTTTAGGATGGGGTACTATCAATATGCAGAGGATACCCAGTAGTGTATTTCCACCCTGAGATGGATTGGAGGTATCACAAAAGTCTTGAGTGTCTGGAGTCTGTAAAGGCAGGATTGGGCAGAAAAAGGCTGAGATGGCACCCTAGGAAAGTTGAGTTCCTGTCCAGAAATTATCTGTCTTGTGAGCTCCAATTTTAACTTGGATGAGGTGGCATTCCCCTTGATGGAGCAGTTATCCTGACTCACTAGAAGTTCTGACTCATTGCAGGATGTGTAATTGGAGCCATGGGCAAGGAAGTTTTTCTCCAAATTTACCTGGTGCACCAAATGTGGCCCTACCAGTGAGAGGCCCTGGCAACAGTGATGCATGTCTGTATCATCATTTGAAGGAACTACAGCAATGCACTTTACTTGAGGCTGTCTTTTAAGACCATTCAGAAGCTGCAATTGGTGCAGAATGCTGCAACTTGTGTATTGGCTGGTAAAAGCTACAACAATATAGCACCAGTATTAAGGGTCTTGTCTAGGCCCCCAATAGAGTTCTGAGTACAATTCAAAGTGCTGATTTTAATCTTTAAAGCCCTACATTCCTAGGTGTCTTTAGGACTGTCATTTCATTATGGAAACAACTTGCCCCAGGTTGGGGAGCTCAACTGCTCCTCAGTTGTGAGGTAAAGGAAAGGGGACCTAAAGGCATTTCTGTGATGGCCCCCACCTTGTAGAACAGCTTCCTCCCAGAGGCTCAGGTTGCGTCTACTTTTGCACCCTTCAGAAATGCCTGGAAGACAGAGCTCTCTCACAGGGCATTTGAAGCCAAGTGGCTTTATGAATTATTAAAGTGATGTCATTTTTTAATAATTTATAGTTTTATATTATTGTTTTATTGGGTTAATTTTATTATTTGCTTATTTATTATTACAATTTACATGCCATTCCATTTCCAAAGATTCTGAGCAGCTTACAATAGTACTATAATAAGATTAAACATAAAAATCAATTAATACAATTATATTCCACTAATCCATTGTGCTACCTTTGGAGTAGCATGATGATTCATCCCCAAATGCCGTTCTAAACAGCCATGTTGTTACAGCTCTCTGAAAACTTAGTAAGGAGGGGATGATCTGCATCTGCAACAGCTTATCCAAAGGAGTGGCCCAAGTATGATTGCCCTGAAGATGGCATTCTCTCATTGGTAGAACCTCAGCAAGCCTTTTCCCTCAGGTCTTACTGGACAGGGAGATTCAATTTGGAGAAGGTGATCATGGAAATATTCAGGTCCTGAGCCATGTAGGGTTTTAAAGATGACAACCAGGACCTTGAATTGTACCTGGAAGTTAACTGGCAGCCAATGTAACTCCAGTAGTACAGCTGTTACAAGGGTGAGTTAGCATATCTACCTGTAACTACCCAAGCTGCTGCATGTTGCACCAGCTAAAGCTTCTGTAGTATATTCAGTAGTATGATTGATATAATCCACAATGTCTTCTTGCAAGATCCATTGTCAAAAGGAACTGTGGTAAAACAGGAGATACCTAGCTGGGCATGCACACAAGCACAGGGGTGGGATATCCTATCACCAAAAAGAGCTCAGCCAGAATGTCCTAAATAATACACTGCACAGGCATGTGAACTCATTTGTAAGATACACAGACACCATGATCAAAAATTAGATGATGCTAAATTTATGCTATATATAATGTGTTCCGATTTTCAGACCAGCTTCTATAAATACTGCAATTCCTATGAAACTGTGTGTGTATCTTTGTTTAGTACATAAACATATACAGTATGTTGATATATGGATATAAATCACACACACACACACAGACACACAAACACAACAGACTAGCTAAAGCACTGAAACAGATTTAACAGAGCACTTAAAGCCAATTATGCTGCTCTATGTTTAAACATAATTACAGCTGAAGCTTTCAAAATAAAATCTAGTTGCTGATGAGGCAGAAAAGGTAGCATAACAACACAAAACTATATAAATCAGAAGTCGAATAGCTAATATTAAGTAGAAGCATGGCAGAGCAGCATGGCATTTCAAACACTCATATCCAAGAACAGGACAGAGGCGATTTAAGACAATTCGTGACTTTCTAGTCAAAAAAAGAATGATATAACATAATTTACAATTAAGAGAAATTTAAACAGATAAAGGAATACAATTTTTACATCAAGGTACATCACAGTAAAAACAATTTAAAAGTTAGAAATGTAAATCAGTTTTATGAGTAACTATTCTCCAGAAATGATATTTTCCTTTAAAATTGTTATCAATTTCACCATATTGATTTTTTTCTCTTCTGCTTTTACTCAGAACCTTCATTATGAGTAATGAATATAACGGAGTATAATGAAACCTTCATTTAATGGACCAAATAGGGGATGGGGTGTCCATTATTCTCAGCTGTTTGCTAAATTAGAGTGTGTGATCACAGCAATTTATATCATATGCCTGTGTAATGATGTCTTACACAAATTAACCATTTAACAGTCTAAGACTGTAATAAAAGCTATGCTGTGTCATTTATGTAGTTACATTATTTGTGTGATGTCATTTTACAAATGATTTAAATTGATATCATTAAGCAAATGGCATAAATGGCTGTGAAAATTTGATCTACTAACTGCAAAGTTTATTGTATCACGGTGTGGTAAGCTGAGGTTTCAATATATTTTCACAATAAGTAATAATCATTTAATGGAAAGTAGCAGCATGACTGATTTTTGAGAACTAACTTAGTAGGCAATTTTTAGCACAAACATTTTGGTAAGAAAATATCCCATCTCATAAATCAGTTAGGTGTCATCGCAGGCCTGGCCCCCAGTAACAGTATGGACCAAAGTCCTTCATCTTGATCTGTCTCTGAAGATAATCTGTAGCTCTTTCAAAGAATTCCAGTTATTTCTTTGATATTGACCATCCACCTTATTCATTCTGTTATTCTTTTCTACTTTACCTTGCCAAGCACAGTTTTTTTCTAGTCCATTATCTTGCTAGCAAAAAAATGCCCAAAGTATGTAAGCATATGGTTGCTGAACATAGCTTCAAGGGAGCAGTCAGTTTTTCTTTGGTCCAGAACAGACTGAATGTAGCCCATGGTTTCTTAGTAACCATCCTCAAATCCATAACTTGTTGTGTAAGTTAAGTAGAAATAGGGACCGTACACTTATTTCTCTTGCTCTCTTTCCTATTCTGAATCACCTTGTTTCTTCATATTTTGTTTTTACTGTAGTTTCTTGTGTATTGTATTAGCCTTAATATAATCCACATTCTGACATGATTTACACAATCAAAGGCTGGCTGAACTCAGTAAAGCAAAGGGATACCTCTTTATATTCTCTTGCCCTCTTGATATCCATCTTATGCTACTTATCCTTTCAGGTCCCTTTGCCTCTTCTGAAACCTGTCCATTTGGCACTTCTCGCTCCATGTATACCTTAATTTTTCACTGCTTGTGTGAGGAACTAATGAAATTATTACGTAACCTGCACATTCTCTTGCATCGGTCTTCTGAAGTTTTCTTATTTGACAGCTGGTTTATTGCCTTTTGTACTTCAGTTTCTAATGGAGTTCCTGAATATACTCTCCTCTAAAAATGTTCCTGTCACTCTAAAATAAAATTTTAAAATAGACTTTTAATATTGTTTTTATAAAATCTCTCCTGTGACTACACTTGAGTCGTCTCACCTGAGCTTTTTTATACAGTCATTTTCCTATGACCTCTCTGATATTAAAACAGACCTCATTTTAATTATCTTGGTATTTCTTTATATTTGTTGACATTATTTATTAAAGTATCTTTGTCTTTTTTTTTTTTTGCTTGATGATTGAAGTCTGCATTCAATTGTCATATATCCTTTTTGTTGCTCCATCTTTCTTCAGATATCACAATAACTTATTTTAAAAACTATTCAGATCTTTTTCTTTGAAATTTTGGGAATGTTTAGAGTTTTTTTTCTGCTTCAATTTCCTTATGTCTTCCCACAGCTTCTCAAATTCTCTTCTGCATGAATCTCTTTCTTACACAATCTTACATTCTGGCAATATGCTTTCTGGGTCATATTTTGCTGGCACGTGTTAAAGACTGAAGCTGGCAAGGAAGAAACTAGTGCTGTCCAGACCAGACAGATCACTGTGCAGATGCATTCCAGTCTCAATGCTGGGAAAAGAATAGCCAAAAGTCTGTTGACTCAAAAGGGCAAAAGGAAAAGCTTACAATTTAATTGCTGCAGCTAAAATATATAGGGCCCTCATGTTGTGGATCACACTCCACTTCACTCCCACCTTTGAAATTATTGGTCCTGCCATGAGCTCTGGTACTGCTTTCATGGTTACTGAAAATATGGAGCCATCTCTCCAAGTAAAGATGGTAGTCCCCTCACAAATTACAGCTACCAAAAACTGAACCAAGGATGCCACATTCATCACCAATGTGAAACAATTTCCCTTAATTTTCTCCATGCAATTAAAGCCATATGTAAACCACTTTCCTGAATAAACAGACATAGCTTTAAAGATTTGGGATGTTTTTTTCTTTCTTTTGGTAGAGGTAAAATCAAGTAAGTTACCTTACTACTTATAGAAATACTATATTACTTATAGTAATATATTATAAATGTGTGTATGTATGTATGTGTATATACATACACATACACCTGTTCAATTATGTCTGATTCTCAGAGACTGCCTGGACAAGTCCCTGCAGTTTTCTCGGCAAGTTTTTTCAGAAGTGGTTTGCCATCACCTCCTTCCTAGAGCTGAGAGGAAGTGACTGACCCAAATCACCCAGCTGGCTTTGTGCCTAAGTGGGACTAGAACTCATGGTCTCTGTTTCTAGCCTGATGCCTTAATCACTACATCAAACTGGCTCTTTGTTACATTATTATTATATATTATTATATATTAATATTATATATTGTATCATATATTATTATATATTATAAATTATATATAAATTATATAAATATACTATATAAGATACTATACTACTTATAGAGCCAGTTTGGTGTAGCGGTTAAGATACCAGGCTAGAAAGCAGGAAACTCTGAGTTCTAGTCCCGCCTTAGGCATGAAAGCTGCCTGGGTGACTTTGGGCCAGTCATTCTCTCTCAGCTCACCTCACCTCATAGGGTTGTTGTTGTGGGGAAAATAGGAGGAAGGAGGAGTATGAGGTATGTTCATCACCTTGAGTTATTTATAAAAAATAAAAAAGACGGGATAAAAAAATCTAAAAAAAATGTTGATTCTATAATTGGATAATGTCACAGAACAGTTTTCACCTCTCTCTGATCGTTATCAAGACGCAGGTGCTCTGTGTGCTGTTTCTGTCTGTCTTTCCTCCTCCACTGTGCAGGTGCGTTGCGTTTGGTCCATCTAAAAAATCAAAGGCAGTATTCTTTAGGTACACTAGATAAATAAGACCAAACATGTTCATCCTGATCGGAAAGTGGTAATAATAATAAAGTTTAACTACCAATATGTAGTGGGTCAAGCTCAGTAACACATGTAATCATATGTGGGAATGGCCTTTGGAGATGGGGGTGTCCTATCTCAAGCCACGCACTCACAATCCATGCAGAGGTTTGCAAACTTCAGAGACCGGTGGCAACTATGACTCCTGGTTACTGGGCAGCGCAGCCTCCTCTGCCTGCAATTGCACAGGTAGTGGTTCGCTTGGTAATCCTGGCTGTTTGCTGTCGGTTTTTTCATCAGAGTCTGAGCTGGCCATGGCGGGGGAAGAGATGCTGCCCAGGTAATCAGCATGCTGCCTAGGTGATTAGATTAGAGAGGACATAGCCCACAGCTGCCTAATGGGCAGAGAAAGAGACTCAAAAAGGAACCTCCCTAACTTCTCAGGCTGTAAAAGGGACAGTGGAAAATTTGTCTGATCAGACTTGCAAGATTCTGTTAATGTAGACTTATAATAAAGTAGAATTAGCTCATCTGTTCATGTTTCCTGTCTGGTCTACCTGCGAAGGCTGACACGTTTGCTAATGAGAGCCAAAGACTATGGTGTGGAACCACAGGAGTCAAACGGGGGGAAATACTTAAGCTATTGTTTTTTTCTCGTTTATCCATATAACTATATTAATAACCAGACTGCTGTTGTATAACAGTGAATGAGACTTGATATATTGCTTTGTACTGTCCCCTAGTGATAGCCTAAATGTTTTTCTATCTAGTCTAATTACAGTTCCTAAATTGTTAAATTTTAATTAATAAACATTTCATTTTCCAGACAGTGTCCACATCTGCATAACACACTTAACTGGATCAAGTGGGTTAGGGTGGCATGTTGTGATAACTGGGGAGGAGAATAGGGAGTTCATTTTATTCCAAAACAGACTCAGGGTGAAACTTTCCCTCATCCACTGTGTCACTCAGATAGGCAAAGAGAGTTGACAGAGAGTTAACTCTCCCAACTGTGAAACAGAGACTAAAATTCTAGAGAGACTCCAGAAGAACAGTCACTCTATCTCTGTGTTCTTTATTTTTTGCAATTTGTGGCAGTACTAAGAGAGGGAGGGCTGGCCAAGAATTTTCCTCTGGAAGGGAAAAATATAGAAGGAAATCAAAATTCCCCAGCCATCTTTGCAGAGGCTAGGGAGCTTCATAAATGGCTGCTCCTTCTTTTCACCAAGACACAGGTGGTCATATGCTACTGACACATTGAAGTAAGTCACTTTTCTGAAGAAGAAGCTGACTCAGTCAACCACGTCATGTTAATATAGGTGTACAATACTCACTTATTGCTTGCTGGCCCTGTTGATAGTACATCAGATTGTAGCTTGGGAAAAAATCCAGGTTCATATTTTCCTTGCCCAATCTTCATATCTAATAAATGGGGATGGACTGCAGTATGGTCTATTTTTGCCAATCTTAACTCAATAGCTTTTTCTGGGAGAAAAAAAATTCATATGTTGAACCATATTATTATGTAGCATAGATGATGTTAAATTGTGAAATAAAAAAAGGAGAATCTAAACCCTAAGTTTCTAAAATACAAACTAGAGCACTACTGCTAGAAATACATACTCTGTACAGAGTGCTACAAAAGAAGAAGTCCCTCAATAGAGTTATATTACATGCAATTAGGTTGTTAAAACATATTGACCATACACCATTTTCCCCAACTCTTTGATAGTATAATTTGTTTGCATTCTGAATCTGTGTCAGTGCACTGTGTATAGTTGGTAGAATGTGGTCAACAGAAGGTTGACTTGCATAGATTATAAATTAGAGATTCTAGCTTGCACAGCATAGTGTGGGTGTACTGGAGGTAAAACTGGACTTTCATTGCACTTGTAACATACTGGCCAAAATGTGCAACAACAACAACAACAACAATAATAATACCACCACCATCACCACCATCACCACCACCACCTTTTTTATATTTAACTCAAGGGAGCAAGCATATCTAATTCTCTTGCCTATTTTTTCCACAACAACAACCCTGTGAGGTGGGTTGGGCTGAGAGAGAGGGACTGGCCCAAAATCACCCAGCTGGCTTTCATGCCTAAGGGAGGCCTAGAACTCATAGTCCTCTGATTTCTAGGCCAGCACCTTAACCACAACACCAGACTGGCTCTCCTTATTTATTATCCTTACTTATACTTATATACTTACATACATTTTATTTATTATTACTTATACTTATATACTTATTTATTATCCTTACCATTAGCAAGAAATGCTCCAAGTAGCAGGATATTACTAAAGTTGTTAACCTAATGTACACCTTTACATGACTAAAGAGTTTTATGTGAAAACTTCAATTGACCAAAGTCTTATGGGGTGGCAGAGGTCAGTATCTATTGGTCCACCAGGTAGTAACCATGGCATATTGAAAATTATGACTTGGAATGCAGGAAGATAAATGGTAAAGAGCTTAAATTAATGAATGAAATTTAAAGAAAGAAAAATAAATATCTTGTGTGTCTGTGAAACTAAGAGAAAATGTGTAATAGATCTGAGTGAAGGTGATCTAACCTTGTGAACAGATTAATCTACTTAGGGAGGTAAAGAGCTAAAATGTATGTCATAAAGTATGAACTAGTGTCATCAAGGTTGTTGTAGGTGCATAAGAGAGTAGAAATCCATAGGTCTGTGAAACCTGTATGTTACATTCTCAAAAATAGTGATAATGGTAGATCCAGAATGAGCTTTTGTAGGAAACTATGCAACATTCTGAATGAATGTGATCCAAAGGAAAAATTATTCTGTTAAGTGACTAGGCAAGAGAGTACAGAAAAAGTGACTGGGCTATTTAGAGACCCAGGAACAAATGAGAATGGTGACTGTTTGTGAATAGCTGCTTAGACAAAGGTCTATTTGTTTCAAATGCATGATTTAATAACTAGCTTATTCATGTCTACATGTGGCAAGGGAATGAATATAAATCTAAAAGTATGATTTACTTCATTATTTATGATGACAAATTGACAGTATTACTGAAGGATATAAGGAACATGGGACAGGCTATTTGTTAGTAGTGTCAAAAGTGGATCATTAGAAAAAATGGTTATCAAAGGAAAGGAAATAGTGAAAGAAAGGAGCGAAAGTAGAATGACTGCAGGAGGAGGAAGTACAAGCACTATATGAAAAAGTATTAGACCATGGATTACTCTCCTTAAAAAATGAATGGAAAGTGGGTAAGAAAATAGGCTGTGGAAGCTGTGTGGAACAGAATGAGTATCATAGTAATGTGTGGAGCTATGCTAAAGGAAGGCATGAAGAAGGCCTCTTGGTGGAATGATGAAGTGAAAGAGGCTGTTGTTGAAAAAAGGTGTATTAGAGAATGACTGCTGCAAGAAATGCAAATGAAAGAGATTGCATGCGTATAGAAAGAAAAAGATAGTTGCAATAACGTATTCAGAGAGAACAAGAAATAGTTAAAATTAAATAATGAGAGAATATGACAACGATTTTGATAAAGATGAATAACTGTTCTGTAAGTGGATGAAGACAGCTAAACAAGGAACCTCCAGAAGAATGAATGGAAAGGTACAGTAAATGGTGCAGGTGTAAATTAGTTTTAGCTACATTTTCTTTTCTTACCTCATTTTTAATTTGTCTTACTATTTATTCTTTTCTAAGCTCTTCATGTGTTACTTACTCTGTTTTTATCATTTAAAAATGCTGCATCTCTCAGCTGTATCTTAGATACACATAAGTCAGTAGCAACTAAGTTTTATTAGTATATAATTAGTGCCCTTTACCTCTTACATTTATACAAAAAGAATTAAATTTTGCAGCTCTTACCAGCTTCATCAATGGTAGTGCATTTTTGATACATGGATGTGCGCAAAGTTGGTGTTCGAACATTTAACAGTCTAATTTTATCAACTCTAAAATCAAACACTCTCAAGATAGGATCTTTATCATCTCCATCATGACACATAATCTTGTTGTCAATAAAAGAAGCAAACATCTGCGTCTCCAAAAATCTTGAGAGGAAAGGCAAATAAGGTTCAGGCTGATCAGACAAGAAGGATGCCTAATAAAGTGAAAGAAGGGGAATTTATGTTTCCTTAAGTTATAATTGCTTTTTAAAAATGACATGAATGCTTTCATTCATCTGAAGTTATTTTCTATTTTACCATATTCTGATATAGTACATTTTGAAATACACTAAAGATAAAGATTCCCTTTCCACAATTTAATATCTTTTTATTTGAAGGAAAAAAAAAGATTGTTTGGATTACATTTTCCTGCTATGCAAACAAGTATGTGAGCTCTTAAAGTAAAGTCTTAAAGTAAAGAAGTGGTTGATCAATTAAAAGTCAAAGCCCTTGCAACATAGTTCCAACAGAGAAAACATAATCTACATTATCACCTGTATGATGTCCATATAAGGAAGTAACTAGGAAATATATTTTTCAAGATTAGAAATATTACCAACTCCCAGAGATGTATAATTCTAAGGAAAAATTGAAGGCATACAAAGGAAGGTGACAAAAATCACAAACATGTGGAAACAACTATAGGATTCAACTACTGTACTTTACCAATTTTAATTAATGCAGATTATAACCATACATCTGGGCCTTTCTTTCTAGTTTACTGACAGAATTCCTGTACCAAACTATGAATACAGGAACAGCTGCTTTATATGAAATCAGATATTTAGTCATCTACACTAAGTGGCAGTGACTCTCAAGGATTTCAGACATGAATCTTACATCCATCTCTGTTCAGGAGATACTCAATCTGTAAGTGAAAGCATTTCTTCCTTTATAATCTTATAACATTTGAGGGAATTGCATCAGCAATATACAAAGAAGAAGGTAATTACTATTAGAAGAAAAATAGTTTAAAGCTATCATGTGCTCATATAAGGCCTTCTGGATTTGGTCATGATGACTAATCCTGCAAATTTATTACAGCAGATGTAGCCTGTTCATTAAAGAAGTATACTTTCCTCAAATATTGATAACATATCTAACATCATGAGTAGTATCAGAGATAGATATCAAAAGTAGGAAAGTTTTAACCCAAACAAATAAGATTATCAGACACAGGAACCTATGTAAAATGCCCTCATCAAAAACGAAATCCTTTACCTGAGATATAATTTATAAAGATATATTGATTGTGATTCATCAGAACAATCTCCATTTCTTATTGTTCATAAGGCATATCCATCTACAATTTATCACACTGGTCCTATCAAAATTAAACTAACCCAAACAAATAAGATTATCAGACACAGGAACCTATGTAAAATGCCCTCATCAAAAACGAAATCCTTTACCTGAGATATAATTTATAAAGATATATTGATTGTGATTCATCAGAACAATCTCCATTTCTTATTGTTCATAAGGCATATCCATCTACAATTTATCACACTGGTCCTATCAAAATTAAACCTACTGATGGCTGCTGTCAAGCGTTCTTTTTTTAATAATCTTTCTGTGCCTCAGTTCAGATATCCTATTTCCATTTTGCAAACTATGGTTTAGGCAATTTGGGATGTGCCATGGACTTGTTCAAATCCTCTTCTTCCTCATATTAATAATTTCTATTTTCATACTCACTTTATCAAAGTTCTGCATCTGCTCTCTATTAGTAAACCACGACTCTTTGTCCTGACTGGGCTGAATAACAAATACTTCATAATCTGCAAACATCTGAGTGAAACGATTTGCAAAAACTTCCCGTATTTGAATGTTGAGCTGGTAAATCTTTAACTCTTCTTCATCACATTGCATTTTCAGATCCTTCTTGCTACTCATCTCCTCTCGAACTTCAACCTGTAAAGAAAGAGATGCTCATATAGTGATTCAGCTTTAATATCCTGAGAAATCAAGATGTATAAGTGCTATTTAAACTGGAATGTAAAGAGCTTTTACAGAATAGTGCTCCATTATTCTATTGCTAGGCAAAAAATAAAGTAACTGCATCTATATACAGTAGATTAGCACCTTGCATTCCTGATTAAAAATACATTTCCAGTGGGAATTATCTTTACAAATTATTTAGATCTTCATACTCACACATTTTCTGAAAATTTCTTGCTCAAGGAATATATCTGTTGTAAAACTTCTTAAGAGTGAATAACTTAGGAATTATCAGTCGGACAGCAACTGCTAATTGTTAAATGATTCTATAAAATTAGGAGCACCACACTAATATCCAAAGTAACATTATACTTAGCTGAAAGGAAATTACTTACTAAGTGAGGGGTTGATTTGCTCTGCTAATAACAAAGGAATGTACAAATAACTAGTGGCAGATATAATACCAGTAGTATTTTTATTTTTCATGTTCTTATGAAGTAAAAATACTTGTTAAAATTAGTCTAAAGATTAGACCTTGCTTGAACTTGTTTGAAGAGTGAATTTTAACCCATTCTAGAATGTCTAAACAAGAATTTTCCTTTTTTTTTCCTTTCTCATCTGTACCCAATTTTGTTCCCCCTTTCTATTTAGTTCCTGCTCAGTGCAGCTATTCCATTCCATTTCCCCAGCTCCTTGATGGGGCTTTTTTGCCATTCCTGATAGAAGGAGGGAAGACAAATGTGTTTATGTGAATATATGAATATATGAGAATATGTAAGAGAGATTAGTTGATGTGTGAGGACCTTATATTATAGGCAATTAATTTTAATGAGTAGTCATCAATTCAAATTTTTGTCACACCTCTGCCCCTTTTTTGGAATGTATCCTGACATCTGATCCAAGTATGTTAGTTGTGGTATTTGCATAATGACATAACACATTGTTTTCCCCATTGT